GCAGCGTTGAGGGCCGATGCCCGAGCCATCGGGATGCGTTCGAGCGGCTGCCCTGTGCCGAAGGCGCTGTTCAAGGAGTGCTCCGAGCGTCCCGAAGGGCTGCCAGAGAGCCGAGCTGCGATTCGAAAACCCAGGAGCAACGGTGATCGAAGCAGAACAACGCCATCAGCAGACACTTCAGGAGGGGAAGAAACATACAGACACAATTAAGCGTCGATTCCCAGGAAAATCTGGGAACATGGGAAGTGGGGGGGAAGGCAAAAACCTAGAAATATGGGAAAGTAAGGGGAATCCTGATATTTGTGTGTATTTATTTCTGTGTCCTGGGGCCCCTTCAAAACTTTTTGGCGCTCCGTGCTGGTTTCTTGGATCCGCGCTGGGCCCCCCTGGCGGCGCCTCCTGTGCCGCCCCTGGCGCGCGCCGCGCGCCAGGGAGGGGGGGGGCCCAGCGCCGATCCAAGAAATCCGCGCGGAGCTCCGAAAGCTTATGTTTGTGCCGTCGTCTGTTCTTCGACTCGGGTGTCCTGTGCAAGATCTTCGGCACCGCCTGTACTCTGCACCATACGGCCGCCTGAGGCCCCGCCCGCCCGCGCCTTGTCTCCCCAATTCGGGCTTCGCGCGCCCCGCCTGGCTCTTAACTGGAAGGGGCTCGCTCCCGACCCGCCGACCAAAAAGTCCTTCGACCCGACGAGAAAATCAATCTTGGGAGGAAGCCCATTCTCCAGCCGACCCCCTACGCAATCTACAGTCGGCCAACATGTCATGGTTGTGCCGTTTTCTCTTCAAAAAGTTCTTCGACCCGACGAGACAATCAATCTCGGGAGGAAGTCCAGTCTCCAGCCGATCCCCTACGCAATCTGCAGTCGGCCAAACATTTTCATGGCTGTGCCGTTTTCTCTTCAAAGAGTTCTTCGACCCGACGAGACAATCAATCTTGGGAGGGAGTCCAGTCTCCAGCCGATCCCCTACGCAATCTGCCGTCGGCCAAACATTGTCATGGCCGTGCCGTTTTCTCTGCTGGGTGGGCTGGGTGGGTAGGGGGCGAGGCCCAGGGCGGAGCGCATCGACCCCCCGCCGCCCACAGATCGCCGAGTGGGGGGGGGCCGAGAGCCTCGCCCGCCCAGGACCGCCAGGGATCTGCGATCGGGGTCCCATCGCCGATCTGTCTTGAAGGAGAATACTCCAGATTTCGTAGTAAAAGGGGGGAGGGGGGTCTGGACCCTCCAAGACAAGCCATTTCAGACCCCCCCCTCCCGTGGGAGAACCCTCCAAAACATGGTCCCCAGACCCCCCAGGCCCTCCAAGATAGCCTGGAAGAGACCCCCCCCCCCGAAATGAGACCCCCCTCCCTTTATTACGAAATCTGGAGTACACGCCATACGCAGAAACTGTTGGCGCTCCGCGTGGTTTTCTTGGATCCGGCGCCGCCCCTGGCGCGCCAGGGAGGGGGGGTCAGCGCAGATCCAATACATCCGCGCGGAGCGCCAGAAGTTGTATGTTTATTCAGTTGTTTCTTTCATTATCGGCGATGTATCGTCAATTTCGGGATCTGGCGATCGAGGGGGATCGGAGTTGTTCGGTAGTGATTCATGGGTAGCAGTTCGTGGGAGTTTGAGTTCGTCCTCGGCATTTTCATCCTGAGAGTGCATGAGCGTGCGCTAGTGTCTGGGCATCGATGAGCAGACGCAGAGCAAGCGTCGGCTAGCCTCGATTCAGCGTCGATGTATCGCTCGTCCGCGTCGGTTAGTTTGCTTCTCGCAGAAGCCAGCAAGATGGTATTGGAGGCCCCAGTGATCTGCCACAGACGAGATTCTGGGTGCTACCAGCGGTGGTCCTGGCCCAAGGTGCTCGCAGCTTTTCGCGACATTTTTTCAGCGGACGAAGAAAGGTGTGCCGCAAGTGAGGGGGTCAGGTCGCAGATGAGCGAAGGGCCCACCTACAGGGAATGGTGTCGGTTTCGTGGTTGTGTCGTGCGGGCGGGTGAGGCGAAGCTGCGTGGGCCAGCGAAAGGAACGAACCCCCACTGATTGAGAAGCCGCCGGGCCAAAAGAATGCCCCATCCATGGGTTGTCTGGCGATGGCCTGGGGTGTCCCGCCGTCGTGTCCCGATGGTGTCCTGTGGTGTCCCGTGGTGTCCCGCGGTGTCCCGTGGCGCGGTGTCCGCGGTGTCCCGTGATGTCCCGGGGTGCCCCGTCGGCGTCCCCAAATGAATGCGGTCGATCGTGAGGGCGAATGTCAGAACGATAGTGATATCGATGGTGAGATCGACAGTGAGATCGATCGTAAGATCAAGAGTGAGATCGATTGTGAGATCGATGGTGGGATTGATAGTGCGAGGTACGGTGAGATCGATGGTGAGATCGATCGTCGAGCGAGAAATCGATAGAGCGAGATCGATGGTGCTGCCCCCTGGGTGAGCCGTGGGTGTCCCGTCGGTGCCCCTTAAGTGTAGATCGACAGTGAGATCGCATGAGTGAGACGTTTGTTCATCCTCTCCGGACCACCTCCTCCTCCTCCTCCTCCTCCTCCTCCTCCTCCTCCTCCTCCTCCTCCTCCTCCTCCTCCTCCTCCCCCCCCCCTCCTCACGAGGATGCCCGGGCATCCGTGCCCGTCGTTTCGGCCCCTCCTCTGCCCGGACCTCATCATCCTGAGGGTGGTCGCATAGGTAAGATTATGCTGTCCGCCGTCGTGTCCCAGGGCGGCCAGGAGATCTATCCCCTCGCTCGGAGACGAGTCCGGGGGGGAAGCGAGCAGGGGCGGGCCTTCTCGGAAGGCTCGGAAGCCTCCCAGCCTTTGAGACGCTGCCAACGTGTTCTCCGAAGACGCAGAGACAATGTCTCAGGAGGCGTGGGGGCCGTATAAGAAGTGCCGCCACCTTCTCAGAGGGACTTCTCCTTGCCATTTCCCCCCTCGCTCGCCGCCGACCCGCGGTGGCAGGTGGGTGTCCAATTTGGGGGCCCCTGAGGGTCCTCTGGGATTCGTGAGAGGTGTTTCGGACGCCAGTTTTGCGCCTCCCTGGGGAAGTTGAGAGGTCCCTTTGGGCCAGGGCCACCTCCGGCACCACGGGGCGAGACGTGGTGGCAGGAGTCGAAGACTAACAGATTCTGGGTAGTCGAAGGCCAGACTGTCAGATTGGATTGGGCCCCAAGGGCCAATCTGGCCTGGCCAAACTGGATGATTTGGGTTATTCGCCAGACTGGATTCGCGTTGGCTCCCTCGCCAGATTGCCCCCGTTTGCCAGATTGGGCATGCCAGATTGGCGCCAGATTGGCTTCGACTACCCAGAGATTGCATCAGCATGAACATTCGGAGATCCGCGTGGACCCCTGTGATCGGCGCTCGAGGCCCCCCTGCCTGGCGCGCGGAGCGCGCCAGGGGCGGCGCTGGCGGCGCCGACCAGGGGGGCAGCATCGATCCAAGAATCCCTCGCGCACCTCCGAAGCTGTTGGGAGGGGCGGGGGTAAGCGGGCAGCAGCGGCCGTGGCCTGTTTTGGAAACCCTGCGCTGTGGAGCATCGTCAACAGAGTTTCCCGCCCTCGCTTCGGCCGTGCCCGGGCGAGGAGGGGAGCAGCGATCGGGGAACGGTGGCTGAAAGCCTGGGGCGGCAGGAAAGGAGGAGGAGGAGGAGGAGGAGGAGGAGGAGGAGGAGGAGGAGGAGGAGGAGGAGGAGGAGGAGTGGAGGAGGAGGAGGAGGAGGAGGAGGTGGAGGAGGAGAGGAGGAGGAGAGGCGGAGGAGGAGGAGGAGGAGGAGGAGGAGGAGGATGAACCTCCACGCAGCTGCGCACCCCTCGCCCTGTCCCGAGCACTGCCTCCGGCCTCGCTCCTGGCAGCGAGCGCGTCGGCTCGCGCACGCTGTGTTCTGCTCCAGCAGCGGTCGAGCCCGAGCGCGCGCGCGTCGAGCTCGCGCGCGATGGTCTCAGTGAGGCCGAGGTTTCTCGAGGATGCCCCCTCCCTCCTCCTTCTCCTCCTCCTCCTCCTCCTCCTCCTCTCGTCCTCTCCTCCCTCCTCCTCCTCCTCCTCCTCCTCCTCCTCCTCCTCCTCCCTCCTCCTCCGGGCATCCGCGCCCGTCGTTTCGGCCCCTCCTCTGCCCGCTTCGCGGCCCCGAGCGACGCCCGAGGTGCTTCGCTCCCCTGCTCGGCATCCTCACCGTGTGGCGGCCGTGGCTCCCTCGGGCTACACTCTGCCTCTGGAGCACCGCGTTCGGTTGCTTCTTGGACCTTCTGGCCCGGTCTCGAGGCACCTCGAGCTTTGAGGCGAGACCACAGTGCATGGCCGACCCAACACCTGTTCCTGTGCGGGGCCCGCGTGGTAGGCCTACGGTCGGAGGTGGACAGACCTCCTACCCTGACACGTCGATTAAGGAATCGGCCGTTTTCGGTTCGCGAGAGGGCGTCGCGGCCGTCATTTTTGCGGGTCCAGGTCCGTCGGTTTCGGTCCCAGGCCGTTGTCACTAAGGGGAGGTTTACTAAAGGGAGGTTTGTCCACCGCCGATACGGGGCCTGCACGGTCGACATGCTCTTGCCTCCCGGCTGCAGCCAACGCGAGCCGGCACTGCAGTTCTCAAGCGCATCTTTCCCCGCCGAGGCCAGTCGACGCGGCCCACAGCTAGCGATCAGCTGGTCGGCTGTGCGCAGTAGGGTCGTGCTCGCGCATATTCAGCATGTTGGCTTTGTGTTCTTGTTTCATGTCAGCATGCTTGTCTCGGATGTGGGATGGGTATGCTCTCAACAGTTCGGGCCCCGCTTTTATCGTCTGCTGCCTCGAAGCCAGTGTTGGACATGTTCATCTGTAGTCGCATGCTCGAATCTCCTATCCGCCTCGTCCACCCATGATTTTTCCCACTCTCTCCCCATCCGTCCTTCCTCCTCCGTCGTCTCCCTTTCACCCCCCCCCCTTCCCAGTCCCTTCTCCTCCCTCCTCCCCACTTCTCTTGGCCTGCACCTCGCCGCCACCCCACCCTCAGCTCCTGTCCTCCTCTCCTCGTCCTCCTCCCAACCCCGCCGTCCACCTGTTTCTTCGTCTCCTCCTCGTCGGCCTTCTCCATCCTATGTCGTCTTTTCCATTATGTTCATCGTCCTCCCTCTTCTACCAATCGCTCTGACCCACCCTACTCTGGTCCGGCCCGAGTTTCTGACCTGTGCCGTATCTCGGCCAGATATTCGTGGTTCTCTATATTGTACATTGGCGGTCTTCTCAGCGCCTCAGCATGGTAAGCGCCGAGATGATGTCCAGCATGGTGAAGACTGGGGGATTGTGTGCATTGTATATTTTCCTGAGCGGAGGTTTGATCAATTTCAACAAGTACCTCATGCATAAAGGCCGCTTCCCGCACCCCATGTTCCTGACTGCCGTTCACATGCTCGCCAGCCTCATCCTGACCTCCCTGACGCTGCTGGTAAGGCCGTCGTTAATGCCCGGGGTGGAGAAGTGCAAGGGGAAGATGTTCCAGCTCTACAAGTATCCGCCTGCGTTGCCGCGCATATCCGCCACCGCTTCCAAGAGAGCAGCTCGGTGATATCTGTAGTGAAGCACCATACCAGGAAGCTGGATGCACTTAACGTGGCCGACCTGACCAAGCGTGGCATACAGGTGCGGCCAGCCCTCGCGTGTCCAGGTACGCTGGCCCTCCACCTGTACATCCAGCACGTGGTCTCCGCATGGTCCACGTGTTGATCCAGCCATGTATGTAGATCCAGACTCCTGGTATGGTCTCACGACTGTTGCGTTGCAGATTCGGGGTCTCTTGCGGAGGTTCTCCCGAAACATCAGGTACAAGACAATGCTTGCCCACAACTGCACAGCGCAGTTCTGCGTGCCTCGCCCCCATCGGGATGCTCTTTGCCATCATGCTGTACGGGTCCAACAAGGCGTACCTCTATTGCAGCGTGGCCTTCCTGCAGTTCATGAAGGAGGCGAACGTGGTGCTCGTGTTTCTGTTCTCGGCGATGTGCGGCCTCCAGTTCATCAACCGCCAGCGCGTCTTCGTGATCGCGTGGGTTATCCTCGGGTCTACCCTATGCGTGTCTGGCGAGCTGAACTTCGTGTTCATCGGGTTCATGATCCAGGGCCTGTCGCAGTTCGCGGAGCTCGAATCAGAAAAACTGCAAACACATGTAAACTTTAGGAGTTTCGTTCGGATCCCATGGATCGGTGTTGGGCCGCCCTGCGGCGCCTCCGGAGCCGCCTCTTTGCGCGCTCCGCTCACCAGGGAGGGGGAGTCCAGCACCGATCCAAGAAATATGCGCGGGGTTCCAATTTGTGTGTATTCCGGATGTTCGGATATTTCCAGGAGTGCATGCGCGCCGTGATCGCCGAGATCGTGCTGAGCGGCAACGACTTCAAGCTCGACCCCATGAGCTACACCATGTTCGTGGCGCCCGTCTGCCTCCTCGTGCTGGTCATCGGCAACGCCCTCATCTGGGAGCAGGCCGTCCTTGACGACCTGGCGGTGTGGTGGCCGTACCTCATCCCCAACGCTTGCATCGCCTTCTGCCTCAACGTGACGATTGCGCAGGTCATCAAGGAGACTTCCGCCGTGGGCTTCATCATCACCGGGGTCGTCAAGGATATCGCGCTGGTGGTGTTCTCCTCCGTCGTCTTCCACGACCTGATCACCATGAAGCAGTGGGTGAGCCCTTTCCCTCTCCCGCCCCCTTTTGCACCCGCTCTTCAAGGCCTCCCCTCCCACAGACCGCTGCTCCCGGCAGAGCCCTCCTCCCCCTCTTTCCTCCCCTTCCCCCCCCTCCTCCCCCTCCCTACTCCCTCCCCCTCCCTCCTCCCTCCTCCCCCTCCCATCCCCCTTCCCTCCTCCCTCGCAGCTGAGCTTCACCGTCACCCTGAGCGGCGTGTTCTTCTGGTCCTTCATGAAGATCAACCCGAACCACCCGATCATTGGCAGTTTCGAGAAGATGCTCGGTGCGGCTGGGGAGGGAAGGAGGGCGATGAGCCGGCGGCTCTCACGAGGGGAAAGGGCGATGGGGGAGCATTCTCCAAGAGGAGAGGGGGCTGCTTAGAAGAGCAGGCTCGTGATAGGCAGAGTGGCTTCCCAGAGGTCGTGGTGCCCTCTCAGGCGGCCGCCCTTTTCGCCCCCGGCCCCTTCTGCGCGCCATCGAAGGATGGACGACAGCTTGACCGTAACGACGTCCTCCTCGCCCTCATCCACATCATTCGTCGTAGTTCTCCTCGGTGTGGTTCGGGGGTCGGGTGGGGAGGCCGCAAATGTAGGTAGACTCGTCCGCCCGCAACCGCAACGTAAGTGTTTTCTGTCTCTCTCTCTCTCACCGCCAAGTCTGCGTTATCAACAATGGACAGCATGGTTGGGTCGCGTGTGAAGAAACCGCATGCGATTTGTTAGTGCTACTTGGCTTCATTCAGCTCAGACAGGCTTACAGTGAGAGCCCCCTCAAATCATGAGCCAGTCTAAACCAATACGTTTCAGTGTCGTGTTTTTTTTTCTGGCAGTTGCGCTTACGCATGCGCAGGGGCACATGACTTCACCTCACACTTGCCTATGATAGTTATTGCACGACTTGAGCGATTATCTTGCCTCCACCGGTCTCGAACTCTGGGCTCCGTGGCCTGTTTCGGCCGCAGGCCTGCTGCTCGTGGTGGCACCCCGCAGGTGTGGGCTGGGGGCCCTTCCCCGGAGCCTCGCTCGGCACCAAGAAGGGCCTCGACGAGACCGCGCCGCTCATTCCCGCGAAGAGCGTGTGAGCCGCCGCGCCAGCGCCACGCGGGCTGCGGCTTCAACGCCGCGGCGCCGCGCGGCGGGTCTTTCGGTAGTTTTTTTGTTGCGAGCGAATCTCTGTTGTTGCATGACCTGTGTCGCCTCGAGAGTGGGGCATGGCACCTGCTCTCACAGCGTGGACGGCAGGAGCGTCAACGTCATCAACGCATGCGAAAATACAGGGGCCGAAGGTTCGGGGGCCAAAGTCGTGTCCTCCATGTCGCACTCGCCGTCGTCCGTGTCAGCCCGTCTTTACTTCTTATGCAAGACAAAGGAAGACATCGCCAACACCGCAAACGTGTACACGTTTTCGATGCTGCTTTTGTTTCTTGCAGTCGCTTTATGCACCACCTCAAACGACACGTATCTTTAGGCCTCTTAGATGTCGTCGGAGTATATGGGGTCGGACGATCGCGGCGAGTCGCCGATGCATCGGCGATGCGGCGGCGCGATGCGGAGTCCGATGTTCTCCACGCCGGCGTCGCCGATGCATCGCCGATGCATCGGTGATGGATCGAAGATGCGGCGCGATCTTTCGACCTCATCTACTCCGACCCCATATGGGAGGCCTCTAGTAGCTTGCCCGTGCCCACCTGTTTTTCATCACATCGGAATGCTGTGTACCACCAGCTCATCCCACCATCTGTCTTCCCCCTCGGCTCCTCTGCCCCCCTTTATCTCCTCCCACCATCGTGTTCCCCTTCCTCACTCCGGACTCCTGCCTCTCCGCATGCCGTCCTCGCTGTCTTCTCCCACCGTCATGGTTCCCCTTCCTTGCTACGGACTCCTGCCCTTCCAGATGCCGTCCTCATTCGAGCTGTCCTTGCCCTGCCCCATCCGGCCTCCGCTTGCGTGCCTGCGTCCCCCCCCTCGACGTCCACCCGCTCGCCTGCGTGGACCAGACGTGAAGGGCTGAGCCTCTCGCGTCGCTGCCGCCTGCTCCCCCCGACCTCCCCCAGTCCACCCTCCGAGAGGATGCGGACGAGGAGGAGACACACGTGCACACCTCCCCTCCCTCCGACGCCCCTCCGCCACCGCCGCCTCCCCGCTGGCCGCCCCGTCCTCCCTCGCGACGCGAGGGGCGCAGCGGCACCCCCCTCACGTGCGACCTGCCTTTTGCCACTCGCGTTCGCGTGGCAGCATCGCTGGCGCGCACCGCCGCCGCACAGCTGACAGGAATGGGATGTCCTCCTCCCTCCTCCTCCTCCTCCTCCTCCTCCTCCTCCTCCTCCTCCTTTTCTTCCTCCTCCTCTCCTCCTTCTCTCCTCTTCCTCCTCCACCTCCTCCTCCTCCTGCTCCTCCTCCTCTTCTTCCTCCTCCTCCCTCCTCCTCCTCTCCTCTTTCTCCTCTCCTCCTCCTTCCCTTCCTCCTTCTCCTCCTCCTCCTGCTTATCCTTTTCCTCCTCCTCCTCCTCCTCCTCCTCCTCTTCCTCCTTCTCCTTCTTCTCCTCCTCCTGCTTATCCTTTTCCTCTTCCTCCTCCTCTTCCTCCTTTTCCTTCTCCTCCCACCGAGCCAGCGGCGGGCTTCGCCTGCTCGCTGCACGCATATCGCTCGGCAGTGCAGCCACACAATTCGTCGAGCAAAAACATCACAATACAACTGCCCTTCTCCCGGGCGTGCCCCCCTCAGTCCGATACTCGGCGGGAGCGGTGCCGAGGCCTCTGCGCCGAAGCGGCAGGCACGCGCGCGAGTTTCTCACGCACCACGTCCAGGGGAAGGAGGGGGCGAGACACCACCACCACGGGGGGGGCACCTTAAGCGAGGAAGTCCACGACTCGATGATCCTCAGGACGTGTGTTGGCCCACTGTGTGTGTGTTATCCCGTTCAGCTCCGCAGATGGCACGCAGCCCCGGTTGGCCTTCATAGTACCGCCTGCGTCGTAGTGAAGACAAGCACATCTTGGCACTCACATTTTCTGAGGATCAGCGAACGACGCCTCCCCGGACTGGGGGCTGGGGATGGTCTGCGGCCACCTGTGAACCTTACCCTCGCGGGTCCACTCGACGCTGGGGTATCGGGCACCCCCGCTGAGGTTATCTTGGCAGCAGACATCCTCAAATGTTTGAGATCCCGCCAGTGTTTCGTAAACCTGACCTGCACGGCAGAGGAGGGTTCGCGTGTGGTTGCCTAGATGGGGGATGTCTCGAGAGAAGGGTGGCGAGCACACCACCAGGGGGATCTCCCTGGCTCTTGCCGTTGGTGGTCCTTGGTGGTGGTGGTGCCGCTTTTTCGAGGAAGCGCAAACATTGGTTAGCGACGAGTTCGTTAGCGACGGGTCCCGTTTCCTCAGAATCGGCGTGTTCCGTCGCCAATCCCGCCGACATCGGCCTCACCTTTCGGGGGGTACCTTTCCGGATCTGTGGATCTGGCACCCGCGCGACAGATCCACGGATCCCGCATCCATGTTACAGTCAACCCGCAAGCGACTTCCCAAGATTACCCTTGCATCCTTGCCTCTTCGGTTCAGTCCTTTGCAACTTTCGCTGGCCGGCCTCGAAAATACGCCAACATGGCTTTCCAAGGACCTGGCACCGCTACCGCGCATCCTTGCTACATGGGTTGACTGCAGCGGGCGCCCGAGCTCCCCAATGCCCCTGCCACTGGGCCCAGATGTCCACATCCACCACCGCATCCCTCGTCCCCTCCCTCTCCGAGGAGCGAGGCGAGGAAGATGAGGCTGGAGGAGGAAGGGTGCGGACGCAACGCCGACGCCGCCGATGCATCGCAGATGCACCGGCGCTGCATCTGGCGGTGCGGCGCCATCCTCTGACGCCATCTGCATCGGCGCCGCCTTTGGGTGGGAGGCCTCCGCTGTGGTGGGAGCCGGTGGCCGCCCGTGGGGGGAGGAAGCGGAAGGTGAGGCTGGAGGAGGGAGGGAGGTGGTGGCGGTGTCGTTGTCTGTGCTTGGGGGCCCGCACCTGCGAGCGCCCGCCCTCGAGCGCACGGCCTCTGCTGCGAGGCCCGGCTGCCGCTCGCCCTTCATCGGGCGCGCCGCGCCGCGCGCCCCCCGGCGAGCAAGCCCCGCGCCAGGGCGAGAGCCTCTGGGAGCCCGGGCGGCCGGGCGGCAGGCTCGGCGAGGCGGCCCGCGGGGGGCGGCCGGAGGGGGGATCTGCACGCACGAAATGGGTACAGTGCCCAACCTGTGATCCTCAACCCTTGATCCTCCTCCTCCCCCTCCTCCTCCTCCTCCTCCTCCTCCCCCTCCTCCTCCTCCCCAAGGGATTATGGACGCCCGACATGGGCACGGAAAGAATGGGTACAATGCCCAACAGCAGTCCCTGTTCCTGTCGGACAGGACTCGCTGTCCGCGCAGCCGCGGCCTGTGTCCATTTGAGACAGAGGGCCGCCTGCCCAACAGCGGCCGCTGTTGGTTTGGGACAACATTTCTTGTTGGGTATTGTACCCATGTTTTCCGTACCCGTTTCGGGCGGCCGGAGGAGGGAGGGGACTGCCTTTTGAGGCGGGCATGTCCCTCTGCAGTGAAGTCGGGCGTGTCCCTCCACAGGGGGAGTGTCCCAAAATAGTCAGAACAACTCGTGTGGAGACGATTTGTGGATCATGGTTGAATGTTTTACGGGTATTTGTTGGGGGTATGTTTTAAAATTTTGGTCCAACATCCGCCTGTAGAAGGACATGCCCGGCCCAACTCTACAGGAAGGATATCCAAAAATAGTCGACAAATGTCATGGGGATGTTTTTTTCATGTATTTTTGATTATGTTTCTATTCATGTGTATATACATATATATGTATATCTATTCAAATCTATTCCTGTCCATATATTTGTATTTGGTCGGGAACCCCAGAAAGAGCGCACCCCCCCTGACCCCCCCCAAACGACTTTCGAATCCTCGGGCCTGTCTTGCGCCTTGTGTATTCTCTGATTTCCATCTCTGTGGGCCCTTTTGGACCAGCTTTAGGTCTATTTGGGGCCCGTCTGGGAACTCATTTGGAGCCGTCTTGGGGCTATCTCGACGCCTCAAGAGCCGATCGCAAACGAAAATGCGAGAAAACCAAAAACATGTTTTTTTGCCAATGGGTTTTCATTGACATTCTTGGGCCAGCCTTGGCCCGTCTGGGGACTCATGTGGAGCCGTCCTGGAGCTATCTCGACGCCTCAAGAGCCGATCGTAAGCGAAATGCGAGAAGGCGAAAAACATTGATTTTCCAATGGGTTGTCATTGATGCTATTTTTTTGTTGGCCTTCGTGGGCCAGCCTTGGGCCTCTTTGGGGCTGGAAGCCGGCAGCCCAGCAGCGTGCATGCCGAAAATAGCATGTTCTGTAGGAGGTGGAGGAAGACAAGGAGGAGGAGGAGGAGGAGGTAGAGGAGAAGGAGGAGAAGGAGGAGGAGGAGGAGGAATTAGAGAAAGAGGGGGAGAGAGGAGGAAGAGGATGAGGAGGAGGAGGAGAAAGAGGAGGAGGAAAAGGAGGAGGAGGAGGAGGAGGGGAAAGAGGAGGAGGATGCCCTGCTTCATGATAGCCCAACCACTCGCCTGAGACATATTCGCGCCCCTGGGCCCCGAAACGCCTTGACCTGGCCCCAGCTGGTGTTGCCCGGTCGCTCCCGCTCAGAAATTACTCCCTCATTCCGACTTGGCGGTGGCCCGCCCCATGTCCACGCACACGCACGCCGCCTGCATTCGAAACTACAAGGAACAAGGTGCACGGCGCAAAGCGCCAATGCAGTCTTGTATATATGTATGTATGTATGTATGTATGTATGTATGTATGTATGTATGTATGTATGTATGTATGTATGTATGTATGTATGTATGTATGTATGTATGTATGTATGTATGTGTGTGTATATATATATGTATGCATATGTATGTGTATATGTATATGTATGTGTATGTGTATATATATATATGTATATATGTATATATACAATGTTTGATTTGTCTGCCAAAGTCCGCCTCCATGGGGGCATGCCCGACCTCAGACTGCGCAGGTTCAGCAGGCGATCTCGGGAGCCTTCTGTCGTCACTCGGTCTGGCTCTCCCGCGCCCCCCGCAGTCGCTGGCCGGCGCCACTGGCGGCCGCAGGGGGCCCCTGGCGAGGCCACCAGAGGCCCCGGGGGGGCCCCCGGAGGCGCCGCTGGAGGCTTCTGGAGGCCCGCGCGGTGGCACCGGTGTCCCCCGGCGGCCACTGGAGGAGTCATTGCGGCGACTCGGGTGGTCACGAAATGCTCCCAGGAGCGCCTCCTGAACCCAGACGTACCCCTCCTCATCGTGGCAAGCAGAACTCAGGGGGGGCTTCCTGGCCACTGGTCAAGCAGTGGCGAAGCGTCCCGGCCTGCCTATTAGGCCCACCGAAGAATGTTCTAAGAACCTCTTTGTGCTCTGCGCGAAATGTTATTAGAGCAGTTCTGTCCGAGATTGTCTTGATTTAGCACATTGGGGTTACGTAAGTTATCAGAACATGTTTTCGGTTCATACTCAAACGATCGGACCCTGCTCAAACTGGGGGCCCTGCTCCAACTGGGGGCCCTCTCCGGGTTCCAGAATTGTCACATAGCAGTTCACAATGAAAAGGTGGTCCCAGGGAATGGGCCGATTTTTCCAGGGTTCCACGTTGTGAAGAAGAAACCGCTTCGTCGGGGGTCTGGGGATGCCGCTGCATTTGCCTCGTGTTCGCCTCTGTGGGCCTTCCGGGAGACCCTCGTCGCCAGGGTCGGAATGGCTTCGAACGCCTGGTCAGAGCACACGCCCCGAGCGGCCCAGAGAGTGGGGTAGTGGTATCGGTACCTTCTTGTTGCTCCAGGCTCTAGGTATGTTTTTTGTCGTGGCGGGGGGGGGGTCTCGAGGGTGGCCACGCGGGTGCTCCGCGTCCTGCCCTTTCCCCCCCTCCGACCCGGCTTCCTCCCCCAGCCCCCGCGCCCCCTCCTCCACTCGGGGGCGGAAAAGAGGGGGGTGATGACTAGGGGGGGGATATCATGGCGGGGGCCCTGATGCCTCCCCAGATTTCATGGCGCCTCTTCTTCTTTCATCACGTCCCTGGCCCCCCCGCTGGGCCGCGCACGTGCCTCCGGTCGTGATCTGCACCCCCCCCTCTTGGACGCCCCCCTCTTGGCCGCTCCCGAGCCACATCGCCCTGGGCAGCCGCCGTGGCCCTCGAGGCACAAGTCCGGAGGCCTCCCGGCTGGGGTCCGAGCAGAGGGGGCCGGAGGGTCGCAAAAGGCCGCCCTCCAGCTCGTCCCTTGGCCTGGCACCGCTCGGACGTGTGCATTTTTTCCTCGACGAGAACCATCGAGGAGCATCCTTGATCATTGGGCGAAAACGCCACGCACGAAACCGAGAAAAGCCCAGGGAATGGGCGTCCGAGCGATGGCGAGACTGGGGGGATCTGCTCGAAGGGGATGCGCTCGGGCGCAGGGGCCCGAGGGCCCCCGCTCGAGTGCCTGCCCCTCCCGTGGAGCTTCCGCGGCAGGCCGCCTCTGGCGGTGGCACCGATCACGAGCTCGAGTGCTGCTTCGGAGAGTGGGGGCGCAGGGCCTGTGGGAGATTCGGTCGACCGGACCCGACCCCAGGAGGTCCGCGCGGAGCGCCAAACGTTTTCATGCTTGTTTACGTGGTCATGTTCTTCTTCGATTCGGGGCCAAAGAAAACATCATGCTCGAGCGAAGCGGTTTTGGGCAATCAGAACCTGGAGTTTTTCGGCGGTGGATCAACTTCCCGAACCTCCCTTCCTGTTTATGGCGTTTTTCCTCCTTCCTCCTCCTCGTCCTCGTCCTCCGCCTCCTCCTCCTCCTCCTCCTTCTCCTCCGACCTCCTCAGCAGTCTGCGACGATCGGCGACGATCGGCAGTCTGACCCGCGCAGGCGGCAGCGCCAACAGGGCCCCCAGCCTGCCGTGCTCTGCCTCTCCTGGCTTGACGGGCACGGGTTTTCCCCAGCCCGCGCCTCTGGCTCCCGGGTGCTCCCTCTATCCCGAGCCGCGATCAGCTCCGACGCGCCCTCAGGGGCTCTCCGATCCCTCATCCACCTCGCCCTGCGCACCGTGCTCCCCTCCTCGCTGCTCCCCCGTTTTTGGCACTCTCCCCCGGCCCGTCCCCGCAAGTGCGCACACACACACACACACACACGCACGCACGCACGCACGCACGCACGCACGCACGCACGCACGCACGCACGCCCGCGCGCGCGCGCACGCGGGCTGTGCGGCGGCCATGCGATCGGCCCTCTCCACGGTGAGTAACTGGAAGGAGCTGCACGCATGGCTGCAGGCACAGGTCCAGGACCACGGGAGTCTTTGGATAATTGGCAGCGGCACTTTGTCGCCGCCGTTTTGGCAGACCACGCCCATCGTACAGTTCCTTGCGTCGGCACAGGAGGATTTTGTGAATGATCGTGCTCTCGCACGCCCCGCTGCCGCTGCGAGGATGGCACTCGCCCGTGCATGCAGCGACGCTGCCGAGCGGGGCGTGCGGGTGCATACGCAGAAAGCATTGTACTCCTCGTTGCACGCCTCGCTCTTTCCTGATCTCCTCCACCTCCTGATTCAGCGACGTTTGAAGGCCTGGGGGCTCGAGGTTGAAGGTCGCGTCGGGTGTCCCAGGGCCTGCCGTTCCCACGTGGTGTCATGTAAAGCGCGGTGGGCCGGCCTGAGAGAGGCGATCTCGCGCCTGGCTCCAGCGTGGCAGAGTGCGGTTATCAAGACAATCTCAGGAGCATGGCTCACGTCTGGCCGCCTACATGTTCAGACGGGCATCGGCGAGTGTCGCTTTCGGTGCAGGGAACCGCCTCTGGTAGCTGCACCTGACACCTTTTCGCACTACTTAGACTGTAATGTTCTATGGTCGATCGCCTATCCACCCCAGGCCGAGATCCCGAGTTGTGCAGTCTGTCGTCTTGGCCTAGGTGGTTCACCCAGCCCATCAACTATCGAGGCTGTGGTTACTGCATATCATATTTATAACTCTGCCAGAGTTTTGTGCCCGCCGCCCAACCCCTCTGAGGAAGTTTGGGAAGGCCACTTGTACGAATTGCGGCGTGCTGCTTGTGCACTCGTCGAGCTCACAAGAACTCGAGAGGCTCCGTAGGGCTCGTTAGGGCTCGCTGGTGACCTCTGAGGACCCCCTTTGAGTACGTGCGACACACACACACGCACACGCACGCACACGCACACACACACGCACACGCACACACACGCACACACGCACACGCACACGCACACGCACACGCACACGCACACGCACACGCACACGCACACGCACACTACACGCACACGCACACGCACACGCACACGCACACGCACACGCACACGCACACGCACACGCACACGCACACGCACACGCACACGCACACGCACACGCACACGCACACGCACACGCACACGCACACGCACACGCACACGCACACGCACACGCACACGCACACGCACACGCACACGCACACGCACACGCACACGCACACGCACACGCACACGCACACGCACACGCACACGCACACGCACGCACACGCACACGCACACGCACACGCACACGCACACGCACACGCACACGCACACGCACACGCACACGCACACGCACACGCACACGCACACGCACACGCACACGCACACGCACACGCACACGCACACGCACACGCACACGCACACGCACACGCACACGCACACGCACACGCACACGCACACGCACACGCACACGCACACGCACACGCACACGCACACGCACACGCACACGCACACGCACACGCACACGCACACGCACACGCACACGCACACGCACACGCACACACACACACACACACGCACACACACACACGCACACGCACACGCACACGCACACGCACACGCACACGCACACACACACACACCACTGGCGCGACAAGAAGCCCAAGCCCCGCCGCGGGGAGCCCGCCCCCGCCCGGCCAGAGTTGAAAGCACACCGCATCGGGTTTTGCGCGGGCGGGGCAGCGTCGAGCCTGGGTCGGCGACGAGCCTAAGGGGGGGGGGGAAGTCAGAAGAAGAAGAAGAAGGAGGCCCTCTCAGAAGACGGCGGGACTCTAACCGAGCGAGTTCCACTACTCGCAGAGTGCCCACTCGCAGACGTCTGAAAAAAAACACACACATGTCTGCTCCGACGTAATGTGTCGTAAATCACCGCTGCGGATCCAGGCCATTCGCGAGTAGTCATCTTGCGTGTCGTGACACGCGCTTGTCTACTCGCAGAATGCCGGGAGGCCTCCGAGCCTTCGGCGACGGCTCGCCATTTGTCGCCCCTTTCCTGGGCTCGCCGCCGACTCTGGAGCTCCGCGCGAGCCCGTCCACTTTGCCGGGGCCGCTCGACAGAGCAAACTCAGAGGCGCTTCTTCAGGGGCGCCCTCGAGGGCGCGAAGCTACAGTCGAGACTGATTAGTAGGTCGACCCTGCCAAATCGAGGGTATCCTTGTGTCCTGAGCTTCGTGACCCATGCCTTCTTACTATTCCCATGACAGTGCGGCCCTCGGAAGGGTCCTGTGTCCTCGCGCGTGTCCTCCCCTATCCACCCCGACGGTATTTGCGCCTCGCGCTTCGGCTCCGACTCCTCCTCGTCCTCGCCTTCTCCCCTGGGGGGGGGGGCGGCACCGAGAGCGCGGAGCTCTCCGCGCCTCGCGCGGCGCCGAGAGCGCGACGTTGGGCGCCCCGCTCCCGCCCTCCTCGACGAGGGCGACGCGACGACGGCCCCTCCGGCGGGGGCCCCGCCCCTGCGCGGCCTCCGCCGCTCGAGCCGGCAGGCGCCCGCGCCGCGGCCGCCCGGGAAGCGCCCGGCGCCCGCGGAGAGCTGGGAGCCCCGGAGACAGGCGCTCGCGCGCGGGCGCGCCAGGCGTCAGAGGAGGCTCAATAGTTATTCAGAACCCCGAATCATCAGGGGTAACTCGGGTCAGGGATACCTCGGGTTCGTTTTCCGGGAATCCAAACCCGAGTTACCCCGGACCAGAGTTACCCCGGATAACTCGGGCGTCCAGAGCCCCGAATCATCAGGGATAACTCGGGTCAGGGCTAACTCGGGTTCCTTTTCTGGGAATCCAAACCCGAGTTACCCCGGACCCGAGTTACCCCGGATAATTCGGGCGCCCAAGTTATGTCGGGCCTGTCCCCTTACAGGGGGATTTTCGACGAGAGATAAAAGATACGCTACCGAGGAACCCCACACACTCAATTCAAGCTTTATGTGTTTGCTGTTCCTTATCATCCATGCGTAATCCTGCGTTCTAAACCCTCGTCGCGAATGTTTCCGTATATTGTCATCCATCACACTACTGATTGAACATCCTCCCCCTTCCCCGCCTTCCATCCTTCATCGGGAAAAAGTTCGGGATGGTCACCGAGGGCCGTCTCCTGGGGTCGCAACAAGCAATGAGGTAGCGCAGAACGATTTGCCACAGCTCGAGTAGTCAGGGGGCCCACTGTGGAAGTTGGTGCAAATCACACCCCTTGCACAGCTGCTCTACGGAACCTCTGGAATTATCCTTTCTCCCTCGCATCATGCTGCGTTTTTTTCCGCACCCTTGCCTCCCTTTCTTTCCTCGGTCGGTCTACTTTTTCTTGTCTCATGCAGTTTCCACACGTCTGTCGCCGCGTCTCTTCGACGGAGAGTCTCTGAGGTGCGCGCGCAAAAGACTGGCATGGCAAACATGGCCCGCCTGCGTGCAAAATGCGAGTGCCCTTCGATGGGAAGTCTCTGGGCTGCGGTTGCCAGGACACCCAAAGTTGGGCGGACGCTCCGAAATCGTCCAGGAGCGGCGCTGGCCGCGCGAATTCGACGCGGCTGGACAGCGCTGCCTTCGTCGGAAAGACTCTGGCGGCCGTGCGCTTCAATGACCTCACGCCGCCGGCAAGATCCATTGGCGTTCCAGAGCGAGGTCCTCGATCTCCCGCGGCTCCGTAGCCATGCGCTCGTCAAACTGCTGGAGGGCTTTGAGCACGGACGGAGGTGGGCCCTTCTGCAAGACCTCCCGTGGCGGCGGCCGAAGCAAGAGCATGTCTTCCATGCAAGTAGCTCTGCTGAGCATCGCGTACAAGTGGAACCACCAGGTCTCCCCTCTTTCTTCCGGTTTGCCAATGTTCGTGTCCTGCGCGCAGTCGATGGCCACCCTGGTGCGGATCGTCTGGCCCTGTGACGCGGTGGATGTCAGGAAGCGCCCGCGCGTGAGCGCGTACCCGGACCTCTTGAGCTGGTGCGTTTTGTTGGCGTTTGTCCACTTGAAGTTCGCCTCCATGAGCGGGAATCAGAACAGGCCGTTCGCCTGCTCTTTGTCGATTCCGAAAGATTTGGCGAGGGCGGCGACCACGTCCGGTCCCTGCTTCTCAATGCATCCAGATTCCGGCAGGCAGAAAGCGCGGGCGGAAGATCTCTCCTGGCGCGCACGCGTCGTACCTGATCTGGTCGCTGCTCTCGAACACGAAGCTCACTGAGGTGGCCTTCTGCTCCTGGACCAAGCTCTTGCGCTTGGACACCTCGACGGTGAATCTCACCTCCGTGCCCACGTGCGCTGGGAGAACTCCGTGCATGCGCCCCGTCCCGCAAGCGTTCGGCACTTTCAGCAGCCTTTTGCAAGCCTCCACCGTTTCCTGTGGTGTGCCGGCAGGAGACGCCCTCGTCCTTTGACTGCAGGAAGACCAGCGGCACGCCCATGGCGCGAGAGTCGACCATGGTCCGGCGAGATATCCATCGGCACAGCGTACTCCAGTCCCAGGCCATCCCGAATCCGGTCGCAAATTTCTCCTTGTCGCGCCTCGGGCCCCTCACTCTGGTCGCGCAGTCGGTGGCAACCCGAGCCTAGAAGGCTACCCAGACATAGTCGGGGATCCGTCGCGCGTGGCGCATGCAGGCGAGGAGCTCGATCAGCGGGTCGCGACGTCGCTCACCTCCCCGTAGAACTTGGCGCTAGCTACGCCGAGCACGTCAGGCTGCAATGCAAACAATCGAAGGGTGGGAACATCCATTTCGTAGCTTGGGTGGTGGCCGTTGGAGTACCTGTTGAGAGCCTGCCACAAGTTTGCATCGGCGCCCCTCTTGGACGGTTGGAACTGTGGATCCACCGCCCGTTTCTCTGCAAACGAATTGTACCATCCGACAGTTCTCTTATCCGCCAGGACGCACAAACAGGTCGCCGCGACCGACTGCCGCAGGCTCCGCGACCAAGGTCCTTGCCACCAACTGTCGTCCGCCTCCGCGGGCCCGGGAGAAAGCTGAGCGCGAGGAGCGCCAGTGGAACGAACAGAGGTAGCCGGCAGGAAAGCCGGGGACCGCTGCGGAGTGCAAGTCTACATGGGCGGGGCCTTCGTTGGCGTGTCCTTCGTCGGCGTAGCTTTCAGAGGCGTGGCAAACGCTGCGGCGGGGGCCTCTGTGTCAGCCGCCGCGCTGCCGGCCTCGCGCACTCGCCGCACCTTCGCCGGCGGGCCGCCGCCGTTGTCTAAAAGGGCCTCCTGGGGGAATCCGCCCGACGCAGGGTTCTGCAGGTGCGCCACCAAGCGCTGCCTCTTGCCGTCGTCGTTCATCTCCGAGTACCTCGCGTAGAGCGCATCGGGCCACCAATTGTGAAGCTGGCGGCGGTACGCATTCAAAGCAGACTGCACCACTCCGTTGGCGCACATGCGGGAGGTCCCCACGCTGACCTCACCGCCCATCTGAACCATTGCAGTCTTCATCGCCAAACATGGAGGTGGCAGCGCGTCCACGGCGATTTTGGGAGACATGGCTGCCGTGCGCGTCGGGCGGTGCTCTGAAGTAGGACTACAGGAGCGCGCCTACGTGGGAGCGCAGGCGCGCCGAGCCGGCTTGGGCCAAGGTGTTTACAGTTCTTGACAACATACGAGCTCCCACCCCCAGCGCACCCCCTGTGGCGTCGAGGAAATGCCACGCTTGCCACGCCCTGAGAGCCTGCAACGCATAGGGCCCCCACCCCCAGCGCACCCCCTGTGGCGGCGAGGAAATGCCACGCTTGCCACGCCGTGGGAGCGTGCAACGCATAGGGCCCCCACCCCCAGCGCACCCCCTGCGGCGTCGAGGAAACGCCACGCCTGCCACGCCCTGGGAGCCTGCAACGCATAGGGCCCCCACCCCCAGCTCACCCCCTGTGGCGTCGAGGACATGCCACGCCTGCCACGCCTTGGGAGCCTGCAGCGCGTAGGGCCCCCACCCCCAACGCACCCCCTGCGCCGCGAGAAAATGCCACGCCTGCAACGCCCTGGGGGCCTGCAGTGCATAGGGCCCCCACCCCAAGCGCACCCCCCCTGTGGCGTCGAAGGAATGCCACGCCTGCCACGCCCTGGGAGCCTGCAGCGCATAAGGCCCCCACCCCCAGCGCACCCTTGTGGCGTCGAGGAAATTCCACGCCTGCCACGCCTTGGGAGCCTGCAGCGCATAGGGCCCCCACGCCCAGCGCACCCCCTGTGGCGTCGAGGACATGCCACGCCTGCCACGAGCGCGGCCGCTATGCACGACGGTCGTCCAGGCACAGCAGGCGTGACACTTTCTCGACACCACTGGGGGTGCGCAGGGGGTGGTCCCTGAGCTCGGCCGATATGCACGACGGTCGTGGCAGGCGTGGCATTTCGTCGACGCCACAGGGGGTGCGCTGGGTGTGGGGGCCCTATGCGCTGCAGGCTCAGGGACCACCCCCTGCGCACCCCCTATGGTGTCGAGAAAGTGTCACGCCTGCTGTGCCTGGACGACCGTCGTGCATAGCGGCCGAGCTCAGGGACCACCCCCTGCGCACCCCCTGTGGTGTCGAGAAAGTGCCACGCCTGCTTGCTGTGCCTGGACGACCGTCTGTGCTGTGCTGTGCTGTGCTAGTCTGTGCTGTGCTGTGCTCTGCTGTGCTGTGCTGAGCTGTGGTAAGCTGTGCCCTGTGTGTGTGTGCGAGTGTGTGCATGCGTGCGGCTGTACGTAGACGCGTGTCGCATGTACTTGCCGTGCATGTTGTTGCATGTGTTGAGCGCGGGTGGGAAAAAAAAAAGAGGAGGGGAAAAGCGAGGTGTGAGTGTGTGAGTGTCGCGGGTGCGGCGCGGCTGGGAAGAAAACCCAAACCCCACGAAACATGTGGGGAAATACCTCCAACATAGTCAAAACATACTACAAACATCGTATGGTTTTTTGTGTATTTCTTGGCCTTTTTGGAATAGTTTTGGGGTGTTTCAATTTTTCCGTCGAAAATCCTCTTGTATGGGGGACACGCCCGACATAAGTCAAGAGACGGGGGTCAATGCAAGCGGAGGTCCATGCAACCTGCGGTTCGCCAGAGCGCCAGGTCCTGCAGGATCCTGTAGGGCCAGGACTGCTCTGACCTGGGCTTGGGTGCAGGACCCTGCAGGATGCTGCAGCGCCCGACGGACCCAGGCTTGCATTGTACCCGGTTCGGTAGGTCCCCGAGCGGTCGCGCCGGTCGCCGGAGGAGGCGAAGTACCGACCCAGACATGCTCGCGTGATGAAACTTTTTGGTCTGCGAGTCGAGAGCGGGCCTCTTTCGGTTTCGAGCTAGGCGGAGCGCGCACCCGCGTGATGAAACATGAAGGGCCAGTTTCGACCTCACGGGGCCCTCGCCGGGACCCGTGAGGTTCAAGAAACGGCTCGGAATGAAAAGCCAGCCCTGGGGAAGAAGGGGCGACTCGCGGGGACCCCGTGTTTAAAAAAATCCGGACAGCGCTTGTTTGAGGAGGAAAACGTACCGATACCGCTGGATTCGTGGTAAATGTTTGGTCGCAAGTCGCCCCAGGAGTGGGACGTGGGGCAACTGTATCGGTATCTTGTTACGCCCCTGGCGTACTGGACGTCAGAAAACGAGCACAGAAAACAACACAAGCATCAACTTCCGCAGCTCCGCGCTCGAATTTCTGCCCCCCATGGCCAAGGGCTCCCTCGAGGGCGCGAAGTTATTCGCGCTTCGCGGTCCTCGTTCCTTCTCCCCCTCCTCCTCGTCCTCCTATTCTCCCTTTAGGAGGGCGGCGCGAGAGCGCGAAGTTATTCGCGCTTCGCGCTTCGCGCAGCGCGAAGCGCGAAGTTGGGAGCCCTAGATGGCGGCGTCTCTGGCGCACTCCGCAGGCCGGGGAGGGAGGCCCGGCGCCGATGCAGAAGTCGGCTCGGAGAGCTCCGACAGTGTATGCTTTTCTGCCTGTGCTTCTTCCTCCAGGGTCGGGGGAGCGTAAGACCCGGGTTTGCCGGGACTCGGGTTCGCCATCGTTTTTTGACGACCGCGCCTCGGATTTTGACGAGGAGGAGTTTCGTGGGATGTCTGCAGCGTGGGATGTCTGCAGCGGGAGGCCTCGTCAAAATGCAGGCTCGGCCTCGTCATTTTTTGACGACCTCGTCGGGGATTTCCGAGTCCCCCGTACCCAGGTCTTACGTCCCCCTGACAGGGGTGCCGATCTGAACACCGCTGCCCACCCCCGCGTCGCCACGGCCAGATGCGCCTCGAAGTCCTGGGCAGAGCGCTCCGCGGGCGAGGTCCTGGGTGTAGGCGTGCCGCAGCGGGATAGGCCGCATCAGGGGGGGGGGGCGGCTCAGGGGAGGATGCGTCGGCCCCAACTCGCCCAGGCATCGCCGATCGGGGCCCACTAACCCAACGAGGAGGCTGTGTGTGTGTGTGCGTGTGTGCGCGCGCGTCCGTAGCCTCAAGCAGGCGCAAATATGGACTAGGGCGAGTGGATTAGCGGCGGGTCCCGTTTCTGCACGGCCTCGGCGCGCTCCGTGGTCAATCGAGGGGGTATTGGCCTTATGCTTCGGGGGACATGTTCTCCGATCCGTGGATCTGGCGCCCAAGCGCCAGATCTACAGAGCTGTAGTTCATGTCAGCGTCAAGTGGGTCTTTTTAGAAGCTCCTTTGAACATGCACTTTTGTAGAAGCTCCTAACGGCCGCCAAGAGCCATTAAAGGCCACTAAAGGCCTCCAAAAGGCCGCTAAAGGCCACTGAAGGCCGTTCATGATGCGTTAGAGGCCGCCAAATGCCGGTAAAGGCTACTGAACCGAGGCGGAGTATGTAAGAATGAGCCTCCCAAACGACTCACCTATCAGCACGCGCCCGATACCTAGGCCTCCAACATGGGGTTTGAGTAGATTTGGTGGGAGGGTCGCTCCGCATCGGCGAGGCGGCTCGATGCGGAGCCCGATTCTCTTCACGCCGTTGTCGCCGACGCGTCGTCGATGCGTCGTCGATGCATCGTCGATGCATCGGTGATGCATCGGCGATGTGGAGCGATCCTCCGACCCCATCCACTCGGACCCCATCTAGGAGGCCTCTACGATAGCCATTCGCTCAAGCCCGCGGCACTGTCCCTCCCCGCGCTCGCCCGCGCGCGATGGCCGCCGCGGTGCCGCCCTGCCTGGCGGCCGACGCCCCGGTGGAGAGCCTGCTGGGGGGCGACCCGGCCCTGTGCGGGTTCCTCCGGGCGAAGGGCGTGGCGGCCTTGCGCGACCTGGTCTTCCTCGTCGAAGGAGGAGAAGGCGGCAAGCCGTGCGGATCCGTGCAGCCGAACATGCAAGTAGTTGATATACACGCCGTCGTTGAAGGTAGGTATTTCTCTGGACGCCCGAAATGGGTACTGAAAGAATGGGTACTATGCCCAACGGCGGATCTTGTTCATTTTGAACAAGATCCGCTGTCCACGCCGCCGCGGCCTGTGTCCATTCGAGACAGGAGGCCGCCCGCCCAACAGCGGCCGCTGTTGGTTTGGGACAACATTTGCTGTTGGGCATAGTACCCATTTTTTCGGTACCCATTTCGGGCGTCCAAAATTTCTGGCTTCCACATCCCAATCTACTTCAAGCGCTCTCCTACCTCAAGAATCGATCCGCTTCTGCTGAGGTTTGCTACTCTCTGGGAGGATCTGGACCCAACCTATTATATGTATCCGCCTTCCTGCTTCATGTTTCTACCTGCTTCTTCCGACCGGCGTGCAAGAAAGCGGCAAGCGGTGCAGATCCGAGCAGTCGAACATGCAAGTAGCTGATCTAAGCCTCCCAGCGGGGGTCGGAGTAGATGGTGTCGGAGGATCGCGCCGCATCGCCGATGCATCGGCGACGCGGCACGGTATGGAGCCCGTGATTCCCCGCGCCGACGTCGGGGATGCATCGACGACGTCCCCGATGCATGTCCGATGCATCGCCCATACATTGGCGATGCATCGGCGATGCGGCGCGATCCTCTGACCCCATTTACTCGGACCCCATCTAGGAGGCCCCTAGGGAAACGGTCAAAATCCGTGCAGTCGAACGTTTGAGTTAAGAACAGCTCCTACCGAAAAGCCGGGCCAGCGCTTCCAAACCATCTTGTTGGAAAGTTGGCCCCGTTTCTTGAGCACGCTCGTCCATCAGCGTGAACAACAGACATTGGCCCAGGCTTGTTTCACGAAACTTCCGAGAAGCTGGCCCAGATTCTTTAATTCATCACCATTTGTTTGGTCATATTTCGAGCTGTAGCACGGATATGTTGCTTCATGAAGGGTAGCCTTGCACCCTTGCCTCTTCGGCCTATCCAGATGGCGTCCAAAGAGTCTTGGATGTTAGATGGGGCATCCAAGGGTCTTGCATCCTCGCAGTGGATTTTGACTGTCATTGTGAACTTCAGAGGTCCGCTCGGATCCTCGGTTGCTTGAATACGCACGTTTTGAAACGCAACACGTGCCGTGCTTGCACCGTCCGTGTCAATACGATGCGTGTTGGCTCAGCGTATTGGCCCACGTTTTGGCGAACGCATCGCGTCCTGCCTACGTTTGCAGACCACGCGTTGAGCTCTGCATCAACAGGCTACGTGTTGCGTGCTGCGTGCGGCTGGCTTGCGCCGTGTCGACCCGCCTCGACCCCGCCGCGGGCGTGCGAGGTTGAACGCCGCCAGTGGCCCAGAAGCGGCCCAAAATGGAACGACCTGGCGATCGAAAAGCCGCCGATCGTTCTCAAGGTTGAACGATGCCACGCGGTGTCAGAAGCCGACGCTGCGGTCGTCACGACACGAACCCTCCGTACCGAAGCAGCTCCGCTCGGATCCCTTGGGCCGGCGCTCGGGACCCCCTTCCGCGGGGCGCGCCGGGGGCGGCGCCAGCGACGCCGCGCCGCGCTGGCCGGCCGCCGACCCTGAAGAGAGCCGAGCGGAGACCTCCGAGAGGTTGTGCTCGGTGCCGTCTCGTCTCCTTCGACCCTCCCCTCGTGGGAGCTGCGCGACTGGCTGCTGGTCCCCGATCTCGGCGACTGCAGAGGGTGTGGTGGTGCACGGGGAAGCGGGTCGTGATTTGTTTCGCCATGTTCGGGCTCTTGGGGCCCTGGATGGGCCCCAGGACTGTTCAGAAAACGACCCGGTCGGGGCTCAGGGGACGCGGGTCAGGGTAAGCGGGGGTCAGTCAGAGTACGCTGGATTTTGAAGGATCCTGCAGGGCCAAGGCTGCACTGACCTGGGTCGGCGTGCAGGATCCTGCAGGGTCCTGCAAGGCCGCCTAACTGATCCGGGTCTGGATTGGCCTGGGTCAGTGCGGCCCCGACTCAGGATGAAGGTCTCGTCCTGGGGGAAGGCCCCAGGGTGCAGGATCCGTTTCCGTCAGGACCCGTTTCCCCAATGCCAAGGTCATAGCCAACCCGCATAGCATGGATGAGCAGGAGACCAAGGTTGCCCTTGCATCCTTCCCCGTCGGCCCAGCATTGGCCGCTTTCGCTGGGCCGCGCCCCGCTCGCAGAGTGGTCGGCATGGTCTCTCCAGGCCCTTGCGTCGTTATCGCGCGTCCTTCTTATACGGGTTGGCTGTACGCCGGTGGTGTGGCTTGCGATCTGCGCTGGTTGGGGCTTGTGGGGCACCGCGTTGCCCTCGTACCCTGCCTTTTGGAAACGCCCATGCGCAACGTTTGGCTGAAGTCGAGCAATTGTGCTGAGTATGTGTTCCCTAGCCGTTGTGGAATCCCTCGGGGGGACACTTGGGGGAGGAAGAGAAAGGAGGAGGAGGGGGAGGATGAGGAGGGTGAGGAGGAGGAGAAGGAGGACGACGAGGATCTCCTCGGTGGGCGGCGGAGAGCTCCGTCAAGGTCCTCGCCCGCTCTCGAGGGTGCGGGTTTCGGCGGCGAGCCGTAGGGGGGGGTGAGAGGGGCGAGCCTTCCCTGAAGGCTCGGAAAGTCCCCTTGCCGTCCGAGAAGCTTGCTAAGATTAAGTCGAAGTAGTCAAAAATTAGTCTGGGGACGATTTTTCTAATATTTTTCGACAACAGTTGAACATGTTTTGCGTATTCCTTATTCTTCGTCCAAAATCCGCCTGTAGGAGGACATGCCCGACCCGATGCTAAGCTCCCCCCGAAGACACAGGAGGCTTCCCGGAAGGCAGGCGCGCTTCCGAGAGGGCGCCGCCGCCTTCTGAGAGGGCCGCCTCCTCACTTCCCCCCCCCCCTTCGCTCAGCGCCGACGCCGAGGGCAGCGCCCACGCCCCGCTCTGCCCCCCTCGCGGGGC